TCTGGGAAATATTTTAGTTATCCAATTGCCAGAGTCATATACATGATGTGAGTGGGGCCAACCTTATGGATGTTATTATAAAGCATAGTCAATTTAATGATATAGCAATGACTTACCCTGCTTATAATTTTCTAAATTCTAAATAAACAAAATTATATAAATATTAAAACATTATATATAAAATAGCTGAAGGTGTTAGATTTTATTCTTTTAATATGTTGTACTAGTATCTGATATACAAATATTTCTGTGGTATATATGTAAGACTCGGAGGTGCGATGGGGACGCTGAAATGCGATGGGGAAGCTGAAGTGCGATGGTCACGCTGAAATGATATGATCAGCACCGAAGTGCGATAGTTCTTTCGCTGATGTACCATGGCCTATTAGACACGTGATTTTTAGTTTAAAATCTACAGATGTCCAAATATTATGAGAGTTTGATTTTTTTATTAGTTCGTATAGAGATATCCAACATTCAATATTTCTCCAATTGCAGTAAAAATCATTTACCGGGTGATCTATATCATTTCTTGTTCTTATTCACAGCAGCCGTATAGATGTCTCGCTTATTTTGGTTCGTTCTGACTTATCAAGTAGTATATGCATTTCAAACAACTTTTCAGTCATTGCAAATAAAACTGGTTTTAAAGGAAATTTACTTTTGTAAGTAGCTTCTATAGTGGTCGATTGTATGAACGACTGCTTTTTTTGTTTTAGTTATTTACTTGTACACTACAACGTTACATTAAGAATGGGAAATGCAATGAATATGTACCTTGACTGTTTTACATTAAACAGGTTATATGATTTACTTAAAAAACCGAAAAACTACTTCAGACAAAAATATTTACTTCTACATTGACATATGAATATAAAAAATAAAGATTATGAAGTCCATCGCATTTCAGCGTGATCAAAAACGCACTTCAGCGTTAAACCATCGCACATCAGCGTGACCATCGCGGATAGGAGTACCGTCGCAGTTTCGAGTCCTACATATATCCAAACATTTTTCAAGAAATAAGTTGTAATTAACACATGATTAATAAATGGAACTTCATATTTTCCTGACCTAAAAGTATTGGAGTACAAGTATATTATAACGTTTAAATCCAGGTTTACCATTTATGGAATTCCAAGACGAACAGTCTGTTTTCTTTAGGAATTTGTTGTTGATTCTCTTTTCTATGAGACGATTGTGGTCACTTACTGATAACTTTAATTTTTCCTTCAAGTTATAATTGATAGATAATCAAAACTATTTAGCAGATGAATATTGATCAATTACCTTTTATTAACACTTAATACATGACTAAATACACTTTTCTTGATCTCAATATTATATTAGTTTGATTTTATTTGATGAAAGCTGTGTTCATTGATTTTACAAAATATGAGTGAAATAGTATTAGGCTTTAAATAAGAAATAACACACATAAAAATAACGAAAAATACACTTAACTATACTATACTAATGGTAGCGCTCTAGGTAACAATATACGGATTGACCACATATTGAATTGAAAATATTTGGATATTTTTGTGATTTTATCATGTTTATGTAATATTTGTTACAAAGTTCTAGTTAAAATTTTAGAATTTCACCTGATCCGCAGCCAATTAATTGTGAAAGGAATGGACATTTTGGTTTCATAGAGTAAGTAACTGACAGTCATATTGTGTGAATGATTGAACATAATGCTAATCATTCATTTTTATATGCATTACTTTTTTATTTTTTTTTTTTTCAAAATCTAGTTTCTAAATTCTAAATGGAAAAACATCATGGTACAATGAAATTGTTAAAACTTTCTAGAAAGGAATGTGCATTTTTTTGGAAGGCCTATTGAAGGCTGCATAAGGTATATTCTTTTACATATGGTTTAGGTGGCTGTACATAGTAAAGTATACTTAATCAAACATTAATACAATATGATATATATTTGAAGTCCAACACCTGGTCCATCACATACAGTTGGTCCGGCAGGGGACGCTGGTAGTCAAGAAAAACAGAGTAAATAACTATTGGTGTGAGGTTTCAAATAAGTAATGTCAATACATTTTTACATTATGTACATATATGGCCTGAAATGTGGGTTACATGTCAATGAGAAAGCTACCCAATAAGTAAAAATACACATTTAGAAGCCATGTCCAATTTCATAACAAAGGCTTTCAATCACCAATGTACAATGTATCATGTAGCAGAAAAGTCACTCTGGCCAGTGGAATAACTGCAGCAGAAAATGGAATATGGTAATTGATTGCCGACAGATGGGCATTAAAAAAAACTTCCAATAAATAGTATCACCTTTATACCATGTTTACACAATTTATGAAAATATGAATATACACATTAGTGGTTAAGTTTCACATTAACAGTTTAATTTAACTTTTATTTCAGTACTAATGACAGTTATTGCAGAGGATGTTGACAAAGTATCATCAGGAGTAAAAAGACCTACTACAGAGTATATACTATTTATGTGTTTAGGTCATATGGTCAATTTTCAAATCTATTGCTATCAGTTTAAATCCTTTATTACTGTTTACTTTTTAAATATTATTTACTCCTAAATCTACATAAACAAGCTTGACCTAAATCATTTTTGATTTTTTCTTACACAATTTCTTCTAAATGCCGCCTGTTACTATAATTAGAACAAATGCCACTTTAGGATATAATTGTCAACTTTTCTGAAATTAACCATTAATAGTACATGCTTTCATAATTCATAAGAGCATAGTATTTTGAACACTAGAAATACAAATTCAACAATATGTTTAAATGACAATGCAAATTAGACGTCAGAAGTTTCATGCTTACAACATATCTTTACAATAAAATGTTTGTTAATTTAAAAGATAAATGCATATATTTTCCTAAGTTACCAAGTTGTTTCGTGTTTTTAACAGACAATAACTCTATTAATTTGAAAGTTGACGGCCTAAAACAGTAATATTTCTTAAAATATTTTTGTTACGCAAATCAGTGTATCTGCTACATTGTAGAATGAAATTAAAAGCATTCTGTATCACTCTTTAATCACAAAACATACAGTTTGTTTTTTCATTCCTATTAGTACCAACATAGCGTCCAGCTTTAATACAAAGGTTATGTGAAGACAAACGAATCATTGTAATACATTTGCAAACAAGTACAGAAATACATTTATGTATACCAAGTATAATTACAAAACTACATGTGTTACCACATATCTATATAGTATACACTTTGAAGCAGAGTATTATAAAATGTAACTCTTGTTTAGCTTTACCAAACACAAGTTGTTTTAAGGTAAATATGAACTGTCTACATTCAATAGCCACTGATTATCCCAGAAATTATTCAAACCGAGATTACTTACATAAGCAGTCTGGACCTTGTCACTTTTAAGTTTGTGAATAGACTTTAAAATCTCATCAGCAGTAATATCTGCGTCTGACAATTAAAAACACGGTCCTTATGAAGCACTTCAGGACTGTTATTGCTAATAAGTATGGCACACTAGTGGTCTAAGTAGTCGAACTACTGTATCATTAGCATGTCAACACTGAGGATGTGAGTTCAAATTCCGCACGTGGCAGGTGCACTCAACTCCTATCTTAATTGACTAGGATTGTCAGTTTTCCAACCTAGGTTCGGTGGTTCTCTCTGGGTACTCCGGGTGCCTTCAACCAATAAATGACTTACCAACACGAAATAGCACAAAAGTGCTGAAAGTGGCGTTAAACACTAATCAATCAATCACACTTGACATCAATTCTTTAAAATATTCAAGATATATTAGTAATGTTCAAATCACATTTTCTCTAATTTTTTTCACAAAATAATAAGTACAATTTTCTCGGATTGTCCTTCTTTAGGTTTAACAACATATATCCGTCTTGTCGTTTGTTTGAGCTTATGCCAATAATTCTTATAATCTCTGTTGATACTGTTCAAATCAATATGATTATTATATGATTTACGGTTAAAAGTATGCAATCTTTTACAGTAATTGGCATATAGCTCTTTATACTTCTGGTCAAATCAATGCTTATCTGTTTTAATTCTCTATTTCTGGTATGTGTGCTTTGATTTTCGAGTTTCCTTTTTGCAGTTGTTCAAAGAAAGGAGCTGTTGAACTTATGTCATCAGAATGTACTAGTAGATCATTATGATATGAGTCCTTAAACATGTTAGACTCAATATATTTCATTTGACTGACATGTTGTTTAACTAACTTTTCTTAAATTATCCGTTCAGAAATTAAGAAATTGTCAGGAAAAGTTCCAACCCCCTCAGGCAAAGTTGACTTTAGATGTAATTGGCGAGTTTTTATGTTCATTTTTGTCACATAGCTCTTTATATGTTTAGGTTTTATACATCGTAGGCTTCTTTTGATGTTTAGGTTTGCACGTTCCTGATGAAGGTAAATCCAGAAGAGTACATCAGATGCACGAACCTAATAAGAGTTATTTTCATTTTGAAGCTTATTACATACTCGCGTGTCTATTGTTGAAGAAAATGTTTTCTAGATGTTTTTTTGTATTTCTGTTTTTTTCTTTGATGTCACATTTCCTTTTCTTCAAACATAGTATTATACCAACAGTAAACTTTGTTTTTCATGTTGAAAATTCTTTACATTTCTGCGAAGTGTTTCGTGGACTGTAGTTTTTCCTTTCGTGAATTTGATATTTTGTGTTTTTCGATTTTTGGTTTTTGTTGCTCCCCTTATATCGTTCTCTTCTTTTAACACACATCTTACATGACTTATGATAATAAAAAAAATAAACAATTATACAAGGAAACCAAAATGAAAAAAAGAAAGAAAACAAGGTAGTAGTATAATTCACATGAAGCATATCTTATGGTAAAATGTGAAGGCATTATATATAATAAGAAATACTTTTTTATTCAGTAATTATTAAAAATGTAGAAACAAAAACTGTATAAGTTATAATTACAGAATGATTATATATGGAAGTTGATAAAAAAATAAAAGTTCCCATTACTTGGACACAACGCAAGTAGTACATGAGGTAAGCTTAATTGAAAAATAAATCAACGCCACACAGACATTGGCACATATTGAAACTGACCAACAGATCAATAACAACTTATATCTATAATTCAGAAATCGGTGGTTGTCCAACGGCTTTTCGAAGATCTTCAATTACTGTGGTCCAAAATAAGTTTTCACCAATTCCTTTTTTGTACCTCAGATGCGGGGTACTGTCTAATAAAGTACGCAGAGGACTTGTCATGTTTTTCGAGGTGATATTTTCAAGCATTACTAAGAGAAGTGCATCTCTGCCTTGTCACCGTCTTCTCTCCTGAATTATATCGACTTCCCATTGACACCATTCGCTTTTAGCAAATGCATTTGATATTATAACAACAACCTTCCATGACTTTTTAAGGTATTTATCAACGTTTCCACTGACAGATTCTTCTACATCAAAGTCTCTGTGATAAATACAAAACTTAAATCCCTCCTCATTTTCAAGTTTTTTGACGAAGTCGTCATGAACCCATATTCGGTTTTCATCACAATAAACAACAAAAGCGTGATATTCATAATCATCGCTATTCACAATAGGAAGATAACCCTGTCGCCTAAACTGTTTAACTTTTAGAAGGTATAACAAATTCTTAATATTTGTATTACATTTCAGAAAAATGATTATTGTCGATATAAACAGACAAACTAATGCAGAAATTGAAATCACAATCAAAAAGATTGGATTGCACGACAAAACGGAAGGTTTGTAATCTTTCAACAAAATGCCAAAATAATTGTCTGGTGTAGTACAATAATAACTTTTTGGGTATTCTAAAAGTGTTATGTTTGTTCGCCGTAACCAACTGACAAACCATATCTGTTCACAAGTACCAGCGAATTGATTTGTTGCTAAACTTATCTTTTTTAAATTTGCAAGTAACTCAGTTGGAAAAGATGATTCGTTTACTATCTTTATCAAATTATGGCGTGGATCTAATTATTGTAAAGACGTCACATGAGCAAACGCATCTCTGTCCCATCCATATATTCGATTCATTTTCAAGATAAGCAGGTAGTTCTGGAAATACGTTGTCAGGCAAATAGACAAGCCTAGTATTTTCCAAATTAAGATATCTTAACTGATTTAATGATGATATTATCCTAGGCAACATTGTTGAATTCAAGATATTCCCGCCAAGATCAAGGTATTCTAAATTATTGCAGCTTGATAGCATATTAATTTGCTCCGACGCTGATAGACTTTTAAAATGGAAATGACAATCTCGGAGTGATAACATTTGTAAAGATGGTATATTGAAAGCTCCATCTTCAACTTTTTTTAACTGTTTTCCTACAGATTGAAGACTTAGATTAGTCAATTCTTTTAAATCAGTAAAAGTATTATTATGAATACGACCGATCAAATTGTGTCTTATTTTCAATATTTTTAGCCTCGGGAAACATCGAAATTGTCCAACATTTCCAAGTTTATTATTGCTTAGGGATAAATATCGTAAATTTGGAAATGCACTGTTACCATGATTTATACAAAACTTTTGAAATTTTGTTATTTCATTGCCGTTCAGAGAAAGTTTTCTCAGGCTAGAAATACTTTCTGGCATAATTGTTGAAATTTTATTAAAACTTACCCTCAGATTTTGCAGGTGAGACATATTTGAAAACCACGAGAAATTTAACAGTTGAAGATTATTACTGTTGAGGTTAATCTTTCGAATATAATTGGCTTTGAATGCCGTAAACATGTTGTTTGGAAGAAATGACCATTCGTTGCGTGTTAGAGTGAGTGACTTCAAATGTGCTGTTTTCATGTGGTTCAATGCATTCATTACATCTGTTGCTAGTAATGATGGTTCCGATGAGATAGTCAATGACATTATTGTTGTGAAATTAGAAAATGTATCAGGTGCTAGACGAACTATGGTGTTGTTCGTAAAATTAAGCTTGAGGATAAAATTGAAAGTCAGGTTTTTAGTCCTTTCCTTGGATAGTGTTCCAATATTTCCGTTAAGAAAAGTAATCTTTTTAACGTTTCTCGGAAAACGTGGAATGTAAGTTAAATTTTTACCAGAGCAGACGGCGTAAAGATTCGTACATTTGCAACGCTCAACCGGACAATGTATTTCATATTGTCTTGCGACATGTATGATAACACTGAGCAATAAACAAATATTGATAATTGCCATTACAATTCTGTGAAAACAGTTACCTGAAGTAGAAAAAAAAGAACATCACATTAACTTGTCTCAAATCTGGCCTGCATTGGAGCTACTGTTCTTTTGAATTTTAGTTAAAATGTAAAATGGCATTCTTTACACTTCATGTCAGATTATGTTATGTCTATTTATTATTGAGGACCATTTTTCTTGTGATGTTATATTTGGTTTTCTTTAGAACGTTGACGTGTCTTTGATACTTTTGCATATATAAGAATACTTTAATAGTAACTGGTATAATTGGCACATAAAGCTTAAAAATCTGATAACATTTGATTTAACTGTTACAAAAACACTCTGGTAGATTAAAATTGTGTACTAGTATCAATATTATAAATATTTTGAAATTCTACCTAGTCCATTAAATGTCCATCATTATTAATTAATAACATTAACGGTACCAATTTTACTGCACCAGAAAGGCATTCTTCAGTGATGCTCGAAACCAGAATATTTGAAAATCCAAAACTTATTAAAAAAAAAATGAAGCGCTGATAAAACCAAAGAGGCCAAAAAGTATACACAAAGCCGGACAATAGAGGTCTCCAAAAGTGATGGTCTGAAGGTTTTGACCACTAAAATTTTACAAAGACCGACACATGTTTTGTAGCCTGCAGTATAAGTGATAGTGAGGACCAGCAGATATTCTTCAAGGACCACCAGGGCAAAAAGATTTTGAGAACTCTGGGACAAGGAATCAGAGCTCCGCACGAGGGAGATATACTCTTAATTTAAAATAATTTCTCAAATTTTGTAATAAATCATTTATTAACCAGACTTTTTTATAGTCCTTTTTCGTAAAAGGGTTTTGATTGCCAATCTTTATTTTTTTACTATTCTAAATATAAAATAAATTATATTCGTTCTCAACAGTAACTTCATTTCATGTATTAAAACTTCTTGACAAAAGGAATTTTTAACATGTATACTTGAACAAACATACAGCAGTTAAATATGTCATTGATTATTGGATTGATTTTGTTAACAGGGTTTTGCTTTTTACAAAAGTATCACAGAGGAACAATATTATGCTATGATGAACATTTCCTCATGTATAAAAATAATGAGATGTGGTATGATGCCAATGAGACAAACTGTCCACCAAAGTTCAAATAAAGTAGTCAGTAATTGCATATTTATGTACGAAATTTATTTCGGCACAGGAGAGTACATAATAATGTCACGATGAATATTTCCTTATTCGCATCTTTATATGCGAAATTTAGTTCTGCAGAGGAGCTTACAAAGCTAGTCAACAAATGGAAGCTTTGCATTCCTGGTTATACTTCCTTTGTTTATTAGAAGTTCTTTGAAAAATCAGTTTAAGCATAATTTTGATTTATTGAATCTACTTTAAGTTACACTGTGTACTCATCTTTGGTTAATCATTACAATATATGTTAACTCAAATTTGTTCTTGCCTTTGGTAAAACTGTCAATCAAAATTGATTTTATTATTATTATGATTATTGCTATTATGAAATAAATCTGAATCAAGTTCAAGCTAGATATATTTTATCACAAGATTTCCTATATAAAGATGTTAATGATGGTAAAATTCATTTTTGGGTTAAGCCTTGATTCATATATAATTTTGCATAACACTTGATGTAATATCGCATTTTAAAAAGCCAACATTTGTTAGCCAAGGATATATTACCTTTACTTATTTTCCAATTCATTTGTTATTTATAAAACTTGCACAGTTTTGAACGAATTTAGAATTCCGCTTTTTTTTTTAATTTCAGGAATTCAAAAAAAAATTGCTCTTATGACATTTCCTCCTTAAATATTATAATTTTTATACTTTGACCTTTACAATTTGCTATTTGGTAGAAATTGTATCACTTTTTGAGATTTTTAGTATTAGAAGTATCAAGTAGGATAAAATCTTGTTATGTTGTCGCAATTTAAAGCTCTGAATTTTGCATCTTACATATGTTGATTAAAAATAATTTCATTCTGAATATTCTAATTGTCCTTTCCCATTATTTTACCATTACAAATCGAAATCAGATTAATGTTAATCAAATAGAGTTTCAACACTGAGTTAAAATCTAACAGTTTATAGGAACCTGAAAGAGGATGCTTGAAATTCCAAATGTTCATTTTATAAAGCTTGTTCTCTATTCATATAAGTGTAGGATATATTAATATTTATTCACCCAAGGCTTTCGAATTTTTTTTATTACAGATGTAATTGGTTAATTAAACTGTTTATTGTTAGGTAAAATATTTTTATTTTCTGTAAATATTTTTTCTGATAAATGAGTATTTGAATTTATAATTTGTATTAAACATGTATAGATTCATTTTATTGATTAAATTATCAACATCCTATTGAGAAAATCATCATCCATTTAAAGTTCTTTTGTCAGGTTTATATGAATATAAAAAGTTTTATTAGACGTTGTTTTTTAAGGAAAATCTGACCTCTGTAAATAGGTATTTTTAGTTTTTATATACCTTTTAATGTGTTTGAAATTGCACTTTTTACAGAATCAATAGCAGTTTGAATTACTTCTGGTGAGTTTGAATGTAATGAATGGACGTTAAGTTAGGTCATTGATAATATTCAAATCGTTTAAGTTGTATCTAAACGACTTGTAAATAAATGAATACATCTGATTTAAGAAAACAATAAACTAAAGTATTGCTAGCAAAGACAAGTGTCATAATATGATACATATTCCCACGGCAGAATCTATTATTTGTTAATGGAAACTCTGAAAAAAATCATGAATTGTAAACATTATACATCATGCTTTATAATATGAATAATTGGAATTTCAGAAATATCGATATGCAGATTGTTTTAATACATATAAAAAATCAAACGCATTGTTGATTCTCATTTTGATTTACATCAATTGAAATTGATGAAACAAGCTTCTCAAAATTGTTCAAGCATCCTCGGAACTGGAGAAAGCTAACAAAAATAATTATATGCCCCCTTATATGACAACCATTAAAATACATGTAGGTTTATTGAGTACCCTTATTTTTCCATTTAAGAAGTAAACGTCTGTTTAAAACTTTACTGACTGCTAAATATGTCCAACGAAAAACAGTTGTCACTATTAAATGTTTTGTTAATTAAAGCTTTTTATATCAAAAAATAATATTAGTACTTACTGTAATTAAATCGTTGAAGCCGACAACTATATATTTTATTTCCCGTCACTATTTTATGACATTAGTGTTTATATTAAATTCCTCATTTACACAAATTGATTTATAAATACTTTGATTTATCACATTTTTATCATGCATGCAATGAATTGAATATTTCCTTATACGCTACAATACGGAGATTAACATGCATGTGGATATTTTTGTAAAAAAAAAAAGAAAAAAAAAACATGTCTTGCATTTTAAAAACGAAACCATAAAATATTTATCAATAATTCATTTCCATATTAAATTACCAGTTTTTCAGCCTTTTGAACTATCTTAGATAATCACAAATAAGAAAACGCATACTTAATTTAATACATTTAAGAGTAACTAAACCTACCATTTATTCAATGGATAAGATTTCTTTGTGCAAAGAGCTCAGAATAATGAAAAAAATCAAACATTTTCTTCCTTTTAAATGGATATTTTTCGCATTGCACATCTTTGAATCGTGCATTTATATAGCAGACTCTTACGGCCAGTTTGCTTTGGATGTTCAAGTATGTTAGACTACTCAATTGTCTTTATTTATGTATATTTCTAAAGATAACTATGAATAACTTAAACACTTTCTTTTTGTATAATGCTTTTTGGATGGGAAACCGGTACGGTTTGGCAGTTGTTAGGATGTTGTGAATCAATTAGTAGTAAAAACATAAAATGACAATGAATGAATAACTTGTAAATCAAAATAAGAAACAAAACAACAACAAAAAAAACATTATTTTTTACAAGGTCATATTTTGATTTCAACTAATTGACATTCATAATTACATATCACAACATCCATAGATGTTGTATGCCAAAAAAGTCAATTTTTAGTCCGCTTTTTTTGCAATTTAACAGTTATTTTCCCAATTTTACTAGATGACTGAAAAGTTCATGCGACTCTTTTTTTCGGAACCTGGATGCATTACTTATATGTCTTTTTAGGTTTGTATGTCGTTTGTCAAATGGCTGATTCATAAACAAATACATTGAATACATTTAGTCTGTTTATTCATCACTGTGGTTGTAGTTTAGGTTTTTTTTCATTTTTGTTTCATGAACGAACGTCTCTATTTTCCTTTTTTTATTTAATCAGAATATTGGAGGTATTGGTTCGAGTATTGAAAGCATATATATAGCAACGAAGTAATTATTCGTTACATTGAGAATAGAACTAAATATCTTATATCGTAAATGTAAATACAAATTTCCTCAATTGAATTGTTACGTATTTTTCATGTCTGGGCCTTTTATAGCCGACTATACGGTATGGCATTTCTAATTGTTGAAGGCCGTATGGTTGCCTATAATAACTAACATCCACTTCATTTTAAACCTTGATGGATAGTTTTCTCATTGGCAAT